CAATGATCAGTTCTTTAGTTTTGCCAACATTGAGATTATAGAACAGTACAGCACAGTTACAGGCCCTTCGGCCCACGATGTTGTGCCGAACTTTTACCCTAATCCTAAGGTCTATCTAACCTCCACCCCTACCTTTTACTATCATCCATATGCCTATCTAATAGCCGCTTAAATGCCCCTAATGAGGCCGACTCCACTACCCTCTCCGGCAATGCATTCCACGCCCCTACCACTCCCTGAGTAAAGAACCTACCCATGACGTCTCCCCTATATCTACCTCCACTCACTTTAAAACTACGCCCCCTCATAATAGCTACCTCCACCCTAGGAAAAAGTCTCTGGCTGTCCACTCTATCTATACCTCTGATCATTTTGTACACCTCTATCAAGTCACCTCTCATCCTTCGTCGTTCTAAAGAGAAAAGCCCTAGCTCTCTCAAACTTTCCTCGTAAGACCTTCCCTCCATTCCAGGCAGCGTCCTGGTAAATCTCTGCACCTTTTCCAACACTTCCACATCTTTCCGGTAATGAGGCGACCAGAACTGGACGCAATATTCCAGATGTGGCCGAGCCAGGGTTTTGTATAGCTGGAGCATAACTTCACGGCTCTTGAACTCAATCCCTCTATTAATAAAAGCTAAATAACCATACGCCTTCTTAACAACTCTATCCACCTGGGTGGCAGCTTTCAGGGAACTGTGAACATGAACCCCAAAATCCCTCTGCTCCTCCACACTGCCAAGAATCTTTCCGTTAACCCTGTACTCTGCTTTCGAGTTTGTCCTTCCAAAATGAATCACCTCACACTTTTCAGGGTTAAACTCCATCTGCCACTTCTCAGCCCAGCTCTGCATCCTATCAATGTCCCTTTGTAACCTAGAACAGCCCTCCGCACTATCCACAACACAACCCACCTTTGTATCGTCCGCGAACTTGCTAATCCACCCTTCCATTCCTTCATCCAAATCATTTACAAAAATCACAAGTACAAGAGGACCCAGGACAGATCCTTGTGGTACACCACTCGTAACTGAGCACCATGTTGAATATTTTCCGTCCACTACCACCCTTTGTCTTCTGAGGGTCAGCCAATTCTGAATCCAATCTGCCACATTTCCCCCTATCCAATGCCTCCTTACCTTCTGCATGAGCCTACCATGAGGAACCTTATCAAAAGCCTTACTTAAATCCATGTATACCACATCCACTGCTGTATCTTCATCCACGTGTTTCGTCACCTCTTCAAAGAATTCAATCAGGTTTGTGAGGCATGATGTACCCTTTGCAAATCCATGCTGACTATCACGAATCAAACTGTGCCTTTCCAAGTGATTATAAATCCTGTCTCTCAGAACCCTTTCCAATAATTTGCCCACCACTGACGTAAGACTAACTGGCCTGTAATTTCCGGGGTTATCCCTATTCCCTTTTTTTGAACAAGGGAATGACGTTTGCCTCTCTCCAGTCTTCCGGCACTATACCCGTAGACAGTCAGGATGAAAAGATCATCGCCAAAGGCCCTGCGATCTCTTCCCTCGCTTCCCATAGAATCCTTGGATAAGTCCCATCAGGCTCGGGGGACTTATCTACCTTCAACTTCCTCAAAATTCCTAGCACATCTTCTTTACTAACATCGGCCTCCTGTAGCTGACCAGCCTGTTTCACACTGTCCTCCTCTACAACTAGGTCCCTCTGAGTTGTGAATACCAAAGAAAAGTATTCATTAAGGACCTCTCCTATCTCTTTAGGCTCCGTGCACAAATTCCCTTTACAGTCCTTGATCGGCCCTATCCTTTCTCTGGTCATTTTCTTATTCCTCAAGTACGTGTAAAAAGCCTTGGAGTTTTCCTTGATTCTATCTGCCAAGGTTTTCTCGTGCCCCCTTGTAGCTCTCCTGAGCTCTTTCTTCAGTTCTTTCCTGGATAACTTGTATCCCTCTAGAGCCTTTTCCGTTCCTTGTTTCCTAAACCTTGCATAAGCATCCTTCTTCCTCTCAACCAGACGTTCGACCTCTCTTGAGAACCAAGGCTCCCTCACTCGACCGCATCTTCCCTGCCTGCTAGGGACAAACATATCGAGCACACGCAGTCTGCATTCCTTAAACAATCTCCACATTTCAATAGTGCTCTTCCCTGACAGCATCTGTTCCCAATTTATGTTACCCAGTTCTTGCCTAACAGATTTGTAATTACCCTTCCCCCAATTATAAACCTTACCCAGCTGTATGTACCTATCCTTTTCCATGACTATTGTAAAAGTAGCAGAAGAGACAGATTGTTTTCATTGCACCACGTCACCAAGCCTTTTATCTCGCTTCTGTATTTTGATTCGTCGTTTGATATCTGTCCCACTACGGCGGTGTCATCAGCGATCTTGTAGATTGCGTTTGTTCGGAATTTGGCAACACACCTGTACAGGGAGTACAGTCGTGAGCTGAGGACACATCCTTGGCGGGGGGGATCTCCCATGTTGAGTGTTATTATGGAGGAGGTGTCTTCACTGATTACAGCCTATGGGTCAGAAAGCTGAGGACCCATTTGCATAGGATGGAACCAAGACCAAGGTCATGCAGTTTTGAGGTCAGTCTGGCGGGGATAATGGTGTTGAAGGCAGAGCTGTAGTCAACGAGCAGGAGTCTGACGTAGGTGTCTTTGTTGTCTAGATATTCCAGGGATGAGTGCAGGGATAGGGATATGGCATCCTCTGTGGACCTGTTATGTCGGTAGGCAAGCTGTAGGGGATCGAGGCAGTTTGGGAGACTGGAGTTGATGTGGGCCATGACCAGCCTCTCGAAGCACTTCATGATTATTGAGGTCAGAGCTATTGGGCGGTCGTCATTAAGGCACACTGTGTGTGTTTTCTTGGGTACTGGGATGATGACGGTCTTCTTGAAGCAGGTGGGGACTTCAGCTCATAGGAGGGAGAGTTTGAAGATGTCTGTGAATACCTCCGCCAGTTGGTCAGCACAGGATCTGAGTGCTCAGCTGGGGACACCATCCGGGCTCATCACTTTCCTTGGGTTGACTCCCAGGAAGTCAGATCTGACTTCTGAAGCAGTGACGGAGGGAACAGGTGTGTCTGGGGCTGTCGGGTCAGGTGTTGCCACGCTGGTGGTATTCTGCTCAAACCAAGCATTAAAGACATTGAGCATGTCAGGGAGGGATGTGTCATTGTCCACTATCTTACACTGTTTCGTTTTGTATCCCGTAATGTCGTTTAGGCCTTGCCATAGGTGGCAGGAGTCTTTTTGGTAGGTCTGGGCATCTAACTTGGTCTGGTACTGCCTCTTGGCCTCCCTGATGGCTTTGTGGAGGTCATATCTGGATTTTCTGTATTGGTCCTTGTCACCTGACTTGAATGCTGCATGTCTGGTCTTCAGAAGGGAGTAGATTTCCTGGTTCATCCAAAGTTTACGGTTGGGTTTTACAAACACTTGGATTGATTTCTTTGGTATGCAGTCCTCCACACATTTGCTAATGAAGTCCATGACGGTGCTGGCATACTCATCTAAGTTTTCCACTGAACACTTGAACACGGCCTAGTCCACCAAGTCCAAGCAGGCCTGGAGATGGTCTTCTGCTGCCTCAGACCAGCGTTGTACTTTGTTTCATGAAGGATTCTCCTGTTCTGCTTGTAAGCTGGGAGGAGGAACATAGCACTGTGATCTGATTTTCCAAAGTGTAGGCAGGGGTTTGAGCGGTAGGTGTCTTTGGTTGTGTAACAGTGGTCCTTTGGTGGGGCAGGAGATGTATTGGTGATAGTTTGGCATCACCTGCTTGAGGTTGGTTTGGTTGAAGTCGCCGGCCGCAATGAATAGGGCCTCGGGGAATTTTGTCTCCAGAGTGTTTGTGGCGGCGTAATTCTTGTCTAGGGCATTTTTCACATTCCCATGGGGTGGTATGTAGACTGCTGTCAGGATGGCAGAGGTGAACTCTCATGGTAGGTAGTAGGGACAACATTTTACTGTAAGGTATTCTAGGTCCAGGGAGCAGAGGCTTGCCAAGGTCGCTACGCCCAAACACCAGGAAGCATACCCCACCGCCCTTCACCTTGCCTGAGGACACCGTGCGGCCCATGCAGTGTATGGAGGCCCCGTCAGCTTGTAGGGCACTGTTGGGCATAGCAGGGGTGTCAAATCTCCATGAAGCAGAACACACAACAGTATGTTCTCCTCTATACTGGCTCCCCAGTACAGAGGAGACCACATTGTGAACAATGAATACAGTAGACTAGGTTGAATGAAGTGCAGTTACATTGCTGCTTCACCTGGAATGTATGTCTAAATAGGCAAGCGTTACACGTTTTGCATGGGAGGTGCTGTGGGGTGTGGCGAGGTGTCAGAGGGTCAGTACTGAGGGATTGCTGCATTATTGGGGTTTCAGTACTGAAGGAGTGCTGTACTGTTGGAGGGTTGGTACTGAGGGAATGTCACCCTGTCAGATGATCAGTACTGAGGGAGAGCCTCGCTCTCAGTGTGTCAGTACTAAGACAATGCTGTGCTGACAGTGATGCTGTATTTTGGATGACAAACTGAACCTCATTCCTAATTTTTTTCTTGGTTGGACAGAAGAGATCCTGTGGAACTACTGCGGTGTAGATCAGGTAGTTCTTGCTGTGCTGTGGTCAATATAGACCCCTACTCACACCACTGAATAAAATTGCTTGGTCATTTATCAGATTGCTCTTGCTGTAGTAAATAATTGCTGCATATCCTGTCTTATAACGGTGACTCCACTTCAAAATGTTCTTCATAAGCTATAAAGCACTTTGTGACATCCTAAGGTGGTGAAATGTGCTGTACAAATGTTACTTTTTTTAAATTGCCTATTATGTCAAGTTTTACAATGCAGAATGTGGCCATTAGACCCAATGTGTCTGTACCATTGTCCAAATGAGTACTTAATTTTGTGCTGCTCCCCTGCTTTCTCTGTGTAACCATCACACTGTTCCATTTCAGATAACAGTTTTCCTTATTCTCGGCTGTTTGGTGTGTATTTCAGTTGATGCTCTATCAAAGATCTCTGCTGTGCAAATAGAGCCATTCCCGAGAGGGGTGCTGGAGATCTTCCTGCCCCAGTTTGAAAAGACCTCTCTGGAGCCTCTTGAAGTCCCAGAAGCTGATTTGTCAGCCGTCGATCCCAAACTGGTCCATAGCCTAATGCCATTCCAAAGGGATGGAGTGAAGTAAGTTTCAGTCTGTTGGGTGTCTGTGTTTGAATTTTTGGAGGAGGGTCTCAATGAAAAGGTTGCTGATTAACTGCAACCATTGCCTGTTCTGGACTGTAGGCAGCTTACTGAATGCTTACCCAAGTGAAACCCATTTTTTAATTCCACTCTTGGAATGTAACAAGTTTCCATTAATCAGTTGGTCACATAGAACTTGAGGATCGCTGTAAAAAGAAACATCTGATATTGGATTGAACAACAAATGCCTGAAAATCCTGAGTGCGCTAAGAATTAGGTCAGAAATCACACGACATCAGGTTATAGTCCAACAGGATTATTTGAAAACCTAACCTGGTTTTGTGTGATTTCTGGCCATGTCCACCCCAGTCCAACACCTGCACCTCCGCATCAGTGCTAAAAATTAGACTAACAATCAATTCAAGATCATCTGTCAGACTTGTAACTTCCACATAATGAGCTACACTGCTTGTATTCATGCACAAGGCCCTGTGCTTTGCAAATAGAATGAACATATCCATGCATTGTGCCTTTTTCAACTAATCAAAAGTTGTAGTGGACCATTCCCTGTAGCATTCTCCATGGAAATGTCTATACTGATTGGAGTTCACTTTCTAACCAATCAAAACACTTTTCTCATGAAATATAAATTGTTGTTCCATTTGAGATTTAGTATCCTTGCAATTCTGTCACGATCAGTACAAGATCATAGAATCATAGAATTTTACAGTACGGAAGGAGGCCATTCAACCCATCGTTCTTGTGCTAGCTCCCAGAAGAGCTACCCAGCTAGTCCCATTCTCCAGCCCAATCGCTGTAGCCCTCTGAATGCATCATGTTCAAATATATCTCCAGCTCTCTTTTGAAACCACCTGTGAAATTTGCCTCTACCACTCTCCTAGGCCGTGCATTCCAAATCCTCTGAATGAAGAAGTTTTTCCTCATCTCACTCCAAACTCTTTTGCTGAAAATCTTGAAGTTGTGATCCCGAGGTGAAAATTTCAACAGCATGTCTTTTTTTCTGTCAACAATTCCTAAGTTTCCATTATTCACTGTTGCATTTGTGTTATTAAATCAAGTTTCCGACATAAATGATCAAAGTTTGATGCTGTCAATCATACATTGAGACCATTCAGCCCATCAGGCTTATACAGGAACACTGAACCACTTTTTCCTTCATTTGATTCTCCTTCCTCTCTTAGCCACACCCTTTTTATTCAAATACTATTTTTCAAATTTTTGTGTTTCTCTTTTTAACAGCTGTTCCTGAATCCTTTGCAATGATACTGCTAGTTCATCCCAGCCTTAGCAGTACACTGTCTTTATTCATGATTTGGAATGCTTCAGTCCTAGCATTGGCACGGATCAGTTAAAACTGTCTTGGAGAAAACAATGGGTTTTTCCTGGATGCATGGGCTGAATGGCCTCTCACGTATATGCTTTGAGATAAATCCTACTGTGTTTCCTGATGATGGTATTTTGAAGGTTTGTGTCTTCACAGTTTTGCCATATCTCGGGGAGGCCGTTTGCTGTTGGCTGATGACATGGGACTTGGAAAGACACTTCAGGCCATTTGCATCGCTGCAGTTTATCGCAAAGAATGGCCAGTGCTCGTCATTACTCCATCCTCTGTCCGATTTACCTGGGCACAGGTATATGCTGTTCTGTTCCACAATGAGAGAGACAGCCTCTCCAATTCAGAACATTCATCTTGTTAAGTAGATGAAACAGGGGACTTGTAGCTCAGTATCCATTTGGAGAGAGAAAAATATAACAGCTGTAACTTACAGGCAGACCTCAAGGGGGTGTGTTGTTGGAGCTGACTCATTCAGGCAAGTGAGCAGGTTATTGTTGCGCAAGTGATACCTGGTGGCACTGTTGATGACACTTTCCATCACTTTACTGATGTTTAAGAGCAGACTGATAAGGCATTAATTGCCCAGGTTGGATTCGTCCTACTAATTGTACACAGAGAGCACCTGGTCAGTTTTCCACATTGTCAGGTAAATGCCCCTGCCTGTTAAGTTCTGGAACACACATCTTTAGTACTATTATGGGAATGTTGTCAGGGTCTGTAGACTTTGTAATATTAATGCCTCCACCAGTTTCCTGATATCACATAGAGTAGAGTGAATTGAATTGGCTGAAATCAGTCATCTTTAATGGTGGGGAACTCTGGAGGAGGTTGAGATGGATCGTCCATTTTGCACTTTTGGATGGATTGTTGCAAATGCCGCAGTCTTATCTTTTGCACTGGTGTACTGGGCTGTTTCATTGAGGATGAGGATATTTACGGAGCCTCCTCTTTCAGTGAACTGTCTCATTAATGGTCCATGGCATGTGTCCATATGTACAGGGGTTACCCATGGAGTGCGTCAGTAAGTGCAGAGGATTACCCAAGGAGTGTGTCCATGTATGCAGGTGATTACTTAGTGAGTTTGTCCATATGTACAGGCAATTACCAGGGAATGTGTCATTATGTACAGAAATTCTTCCTGGGAATGTGTCAGTATGTACTGGAGGTTACCCAGGGACTGTGTCATTATGAACAAGGGTTCTTGAGGAGTTTGTCAGTATGTGTAAGGGGTAGTCATGAGTGATGTTTCAGATATGCAGTCTACAGATTGGGCAATTCGGATCAGCATTTTTTTCTTCTTTTTCAGGCTTTTAGCCAATGGCTGCCATCACTAGATACTCAGGCTATTAATGTTATACTGACAGGGAAAGATCGATTATTATCCTCTCATGTCAGCATAATCAGCTATGACCTGCTCGCCAAACTCAAGAATCAGTTGATGGAGAGAAGCTTCCAGGTCATCATTGTAGTAAGTGGATGCAATTATTCTTTATTCTCCCTGTGGCGCTTATGAGAGGAGATCACTTTAGTGCTGAGCCAGTACAAAGATGATGCTAGCACATCATCAGTATACAATCAGTGTACAATGGCTAACTCAGGTGGAATGATTGCAGAAACCAAAATACTTATAGTACAAGAGGAAACTTAGGAAAAAAACAGACTTTATGTTGTTGTCTCAGAAATATTTCAGTCGTTTACCTTGAATTTATTTATCCTTCAATGAGGGGATCAAAACTGTTCACATATGTGATCTAATTAGTGTCTTTTGTAGTTACAGCAAGGCCTCCCTATTTTTATAGAATCTAAAGTCATACAGTGCAGGAGAAGCCCTTTGGCCCATTGAGTCTAGTCCCACTTTCCAGCACTAGATTCATAGCCTTGAGTGTTATGACACTCCAATTGCTCATCCAAATACCTTTTTAAAGGCTCTCCAGTTACCTGCCTCAACTAGCCTGCCAGGCAGTGCATTCTGAATTCCTTTCAACCTCTGAAAATTACTTTGCTCAAATTCCCTCTAAACCTCCTGCATTTCACCTTAAAGTTATGCTCCCTTATTATTGACCCCTCAACTAAGGAGAACAGTTGCTTTCAATTTACCCTGTCCATGCCATTACTACCTTATAAACATCCATCAGGTCTCCCCTCAACCTTCTCTGCTCAAAAGAAAACAACCTGAGCTTATCAAGATAAAAAGGTGTAGAGCTGGATGAACACAGCAGGGCAGGCAGCATCAGAGGAGCAGGAAATGGGGCCATTTCTGAAGAAGGGTCCAGACCCAAAACGTCAGTTTTTCTGCTCCTCTGAAGCAGCCTGGCCTGCTGTGTTCATCCAGCTCTACACCTTGTTATCTCAGACTCCAGCATCAGCAGTTCCTACTATCTCTGACTGAGCTTATCAAGACTTTATTTGTAACTAAGTGCTCCATCTCAGGCGACATTGTGGTGAATTTCCACTGCGCCCATCCAGTGCAAACACATCCTGCCCATAGTATGGTAACCAGAACTGCACATAGTATTCCAGCTGTGCCCAAACTTAAGTCTTCTACAGCTCCAAAATAATCTCCGTGCTCTTATACTCTATATTTTGACTGATTAAAGGCAAGTGTCCTGTATGCCTTCTTAACGACCCTATTAACCTGCCCTGCCACCTTTGGGGATTTGAGTCACCAAACTCGAAATTTTAACTCTGCTTTCTTGCCACAGATGTTGCCAGAGCTTTTGAGCTTCTCCAGCAATTTCTGTTTTTGTTTCAGATCTCCAGCATCTGCAGTTCTTCATATCGTTATATTGGAAAACTATTCAAAAAGGGAAGGAAACAAAAAGCAGATAACTATAGGCCAGTTAGCCTAATATCTCTTGTTGCAAAAGTATTGGAATCAATTATTAAGAAAGTTGCAGCAGAATATTTTGGAAAATCATAATCTAATCAAGCAGAGTCAGCATAGCTTCATGAAAGGGAAATCAAAGAACAAAGAAAATTACAGTACAGGAACAGGCCCTTCGGCCCTCCAAGCCTGCACCAACATGCTGCCCGTCACAACTAAAACCCCCTCCCCTTCCGGGGACCATAGCCCTCTATTCCCATTCTATTCATGTATTTGTCAAGACGCCCTTTAAAGGTCACTTAAGTATCTGCTTCCACTACCCACCTGGCAGCGAGTTCCAGGCACCCACCACCATCTGTGTGAAAAAACTTGTCTCATACATCACCTTCAAACCTTGCCCCTCACGCCTTAAACCCATGGCACCTAGTAACTGACTCATCCACCCTGGGAAAAAGCTTCTGACTGTCCAGTCTGGCCGTGCCCTTCATAATCTTGTAGAACTCTATCAGATCCCCCCTCAACCTCCGTCGTTCCAGTGCGAACAACCCAAGTTTCTCCAACCTCTCCTCATAGCTAATGTCCTCCATACCAGGCAACATGCTTGTAAATCTTTTCTGTACCCTCTGTAAAGCTACCACATCCTTCTGGTAGTGTGGCGACCAGAATTGAATACAATATTCCAAATGTGGCCTGACTAAAGTTCTATAAAGCTGCAACGTTACCTGCCAATTTTTAAACTCAATGCCCCGGCCGATGAAGGCAAGCATGCCGTATGCCTTGTTGACGACTTTCTTCACCTGCGTTGCCACTTTCAGTGACCTGTGTACCTGTACACCCAGATCCCTCTGCATATCGGTACTCTTAAGGGTTCTGCCATTTACTGTATATTTTCCTTCCAGATTAGACCTTCCAAACTGCATTACCTCACATTTTTCCAGATTAAACTCCATCTGCCATCTCACTGCCCAAGTCACCAACCGATCTATATCCTGCTGTATCCTTTGATGGTCCTCATTGCTATCGCAATTCCACTAACCTTTGTGCCCCCAGCAAACTTACTAATCAGACCAGTTACATTTTCCTCCAAATCATTTATATATATTACAAATGGCAAAGGTCCCAACACTGATCCCTGAGGAACGCCACTAGTCTCAGCCCTCCATTCAGAAATGCATCCTTCCACTGCTACCCTCTGTCTTCAATGACTGAGCCAGATTTTTATCCATCTTGCAAGCTCACCTCTGACTCGGTGCGACTTTCCCTTCTGTGACAGCCTGCCATGAGGGACCTTGTCAAAGGCCTTACTGAAGTCCATGTAGACAATATCCACTGCCCTACTCTCATCAAACATCTTCGTGACTTCCTCAAAAAACTCAACCAAGTCAGTGAGACACGACCTCCCCTTCACAAAACCATGTTGCCTCTTGCTAATATGCCCATTGATTTCCAGGTGGGAGTAAATCCTGTCTCAAAGAATCCTCTCCAGTAATTTCCCTACCACTGACGTAAAGCTCACCGGCCTGTAATTAATTGGATTATCCTTGCCACCTTTCTTAAACAAAGGAACAACATTGGCTATTCTCCAATCCTCTGGGACCTCCCCTGTAGCCAGTGAGGATACAAAGATTTCCCTCAAGGCCCCAGCAATTTCCTCCCTTGCCTTTCTCAGTATTCTGGGGTATATCCCATTCAGCCCTCAGGTCTTATCTACCTTCATGTTTTTCAAGACCCTAATACCTCCTTCCTTTTGATCTCAATATGATCCAAACTATCTACACACCCTTCCCCAGACTCATCATCCACCAAGACCTCTTTTATGGTGAATACTGACGCAAAGTACTCATTTAATACCTCACCCATTTCCTCTGGCTTCTCACATAAATTCCCTTCTCTGTCCTTGAGTGGGCCAACCCTCTGCCAGGCTACCCTCTTACTGAACAAAGAACAAAGAAAATTACAGGCCTTTCGGCCCTCCAAGCCTGCGCTGATCTAGATCCTCTATCTAAACCTGTCGCCTGTTTTCCAAGGATCTGTATCCCTATGCTCCCTGCCCATTCATGTATCTGTCTAGATACATTTTAAATGACGCTATCGTGCCCTCTTCTACCACCTCCACTGGCAACGAGTTCCAGGCACTCACCACCCTCTGCATAAAGAACTTTCCACGCATATCTCCCTTAAACTTTTCCCCTCTCACCTTGAAATCGTGACCCCTAGTAATTGAGACCCCCACTCTGGGAAAAAGCTTCTTGCTATCCACCCTGTCTATACCTCTCATGATTTTGTAGACCTCAATCAGGTACCCCCTCAACCTCTGTCTTTCTAATATAAATAATCCTAATCTACTCAACCTCTCTTTACAGCGAGCAGCCTCCATACCAGGCAACATCCTGGTGAACCTCCTCTGCACCCTCTCCAAAGCATCCACATCCTTTTGGTAATGTGGCGACCGGAACTGTAAGCAGTATTCCAAATGTGGTCGAACCAAAGTCCTATACAACTGTAACATGACCTGCCAACTCTTGTACCCAATACCCCGTCCGATGAATGAAAGCATGCCGTATGCCTTCTTGACCACTCTACCCACCTGCGTTGCCACCTTCAGGGTACAATGGACCTGAACACCCAGATCACTCTGTGCATCAATTTTCCCCAGGGCTTTTCCATTTACCGTATAGTTCGCTCTTGAATTGGATCTTCCAAAATGCATCACCTCGCATTTGCCTGGATTGAACTCCATCTGCCATTTCTCCGCCCAACTCTCCAATCTATCTATATTCTGCTGCATTCTCCGACAGTCCCCTTCACTATCTGCTACTCCACCAATCTTAGTGTCATCTGCAAACTTGCTAATCAGACCATCTCTACCTTCCTCCAGATCATTTAAGTATATCACAAACAACAGTGGTCCCAACACGGATCCCTGTGGAACACCACTGGTCACAGTTCTCCATTTTGAGAAACTCCCTTCCACTACAACTCTCTGTCTCCTGTTGCCCAGCCAGTTCTCTATCCATCTAGTTAGTACACACTGGACCCCATGTGACTTCACTTTCTCCATCAGCCGACCATGGGGAACCTTATCAAACGCCTTACTGAAGTCCATATATATGACATCCACAGCCCTTCCCTCATCTATCAACTTTGTCACTTCCTCAAAGAATTCTATCAAGTTGGTAAGACATGACCTTCTCTGCACAAAACCATGCTGCCTATCACTAATAAGCCCATTTCCTTCCAAATGTAAATAGATTCTATCCCTCAGTATCTTCTCCAGCAGCTTCCCCACCACTGACGTCAGGCTTACCGGTCTATAATTACCTGGATTATCCTTGCTACCCTTCTTAAACAAGGGGACAACATTAGCAATTCTCCACTCCTCCAGGACCTCACCCGTGCCAACGGATGCTGCAAAGATATCTGTTAAGGTCCCAGCTATTTCTTCTCTCGCTTCCCTCAGTAACCTGGGTTATATTCCATCCAGACCTGGGGACTTGTCCACCCTAATGCCTTTTAGAATAGCCAACACTTGCCCCCCTCCTTATACCGATTTGACCTAGAGTAATCAAACATCTATCCCTAACCTCAACATCCATCATGTCCCTCTCCTCGGTGAATACCGACGCACAGTACTCATTAAGAATCTCACTCATTTTCTCTGACTCCTCGCATAACTTCCCTCCTTTGTCCTTGAGTGGGCCAACCCTTTCTCTAGTTACCCTCTTGCTCCTTATGTATGAATAAAAAGCTTTGGGTTTTTCCTTAATCCTGTTGCTAAAGATATTTCATGACCCCTTTTAGCCTTCTTAATTCCTCGTTTCAGATTGGTCCTACTTTCCCGATATTCTTCCAAAACTTCATCTGTTTTCAGTCGCCTAGACATCATGTATGCTTCCTTTTTCCTCTTTGCTCGTCTCACAATTTCACCTGTCATCCATGGTTCCCTAATCTTGCCCTTTCTATCCCTCATTTTCACAGGGACATGTCTGTCCTGCACTCTAATCATTCTCTCTTTAAATGCCTCCCACATATCAAGTTACTCTTTATATATGTATAAAAAGCCTTGGGATTTTCCATAATCCTGATGGCCAATGACTTTTCATGACTCTTTTTAGCCCTCCTGACTCCTTGCTTTAGTTTCTTTCGATTTTCCTTGTATTCCACCCTTGCTTCGTGTGTTCCCAGCCTCCTAGCCTTGATAGATGCTTCCTTTTTCGTTTTGATTAGGCTCACAATATCTCTCGTTATCCAAGGCTCCCTAAACTTGCCATACTTATCCTTCACCCTTAAAGGAACATGCCGGCGACACGGTGGCACAGTGGTTAGCACTGCTGCCTCACAGCGCCAGGGACCTGGGTTCGATTCCAGCCTCAGGCGACTGTCTGTGTGGAGTTTGCACATTCTCCCCGTGTCTGCGTGGGTTTTCTCCGGGTGCTCCGGTTTCCTCCCACAGTCCAAAGATGTGCAGGTTAGGCGGATTGGCCATGAAAAATTGCCTGTAGTGTTCAGGGAGGTGGAGGGTGTATATTAGGTGGGTCATAGGGGGATGGATCTGCGTGGGATGCTCTGAGGTTCGGTGTGGACTTGTTGGGCCGAAGGGCCTGTTTCCACACTGTAGGGATTCTAATTCTCTAATTCAGTCCTGAGTTCCCAGCAACTTACACTTGGAAGTCTCCCACATACCAAATATTGATTTGCCCCCAAACATCTGCCTCCAATCTACATTCTTCAGTTCCTGCCTAATATTGTTGTAATTAGCATTCCCCCAATTTAGCACCTTCACCTGACAACTACACCTATCTTTATCCATCAGTACATTAAAGCTTACTGAATTGTGATCACTGTTCCCGAGTTGCTCCCCTACTGAGACGTTGACCATCTGACCAGGCTCATTTCCCAATTCTAGGTCCAGTACGGCCTCTTTCCTCGTTGGACTATCTACATACTGTTTCAAGAAGCCCTCCTGGATGCTCTTTACAAACTCTGCCCCATCCGAGTCCCAAGCACTAAGTGAGTTCCAGTCAATATATGGGAAGTTCAAATCACCACGACAACAGCCCTGTTACTTTTACATCTTGCCAAAATCTGCCTACATATCTGTTCTTTTATTTCCCGCTGGCTGTTGAGAGGCCTATAGTAAATCCCAAACATTGTGATTGTATCCTTCCTGATCCTGAGCTCTACCCGTATTGCCTCGCTGTATGAGCCATCCAAGGTGTCCTCCCGCAGTACAGCTGTGATTTTCTCCTTAACAAATAGTGGAACTCCCCCACCCCTTTTATATCCCCCTCTATCCCGCCTGAAACATGTGTATCCTGGAACGTTAAGCTGCCAATCCTGTCCCTCCCTTAACCAGGTCTCTGTAATAGCAGCAACATCATAACAACATCAACAAATCATGTCTGACTAATTTATTAGACTGTTTTGAGGAAGTCTCAATCAGAGTGGAGAGGGGGCAGCAGTAGAAATGTTATATTTGGACCTGCAGAAGAAGTTCAAAAAGGTACCTCACAAAAGGTTAAGTTATAAGAGCCCATGGTGCTGGAGGTAGTATATTGGCATGGATAGAGAATTGGCTCATGGGCAGGAAACACTGAGTGGGGATAAGGGGTTCTTTTTCAGGTTGGTGACTTGTGATCAGTGGAGTTCCAAGGGGATCAGTGCTGGGACTGCAACTGTTTACAATATGTAAATAACTTGGAGGAAGAAAGTGAATGTACTGTAGCCAGATTTACAGGTGACACAAAAATAAGTAGAAAGGCAAGCTGTGAGACGGATATGAACAGTTTAAAGGGAGATATTGATATAAAAGAACAAAGAAAATTACAGCACAGGAACAGGTCCTTCAGCCCTCCAAGCCTGCGCCGATCCAGATCCTCTATCTAAACCTGTCGCCTATTTTCCAAGGATCTGTATCCCTCTGCTCCCTGCCCATTCATCTATCTGTCTAGATACATCTTAAATGACGCTATCGTGCCCGCCTCTACCACCTCCGCTGGCAACACGTTCCAGGCACCCACCACCCTCTGCGTAAAGAACTTACCACGCATATCTCCCTTAAACTTTTCCTCTATGTTAAGATATGTTTAGAAAGTGGACAAAAAATTGGCAAATTGTGTGTAATGGGGGCAAATGTGAAGTTGAAGGCAGAACAAAAGAACAGAATTTACTTTAAATGGAGAAAAACTGCAGCAAGCAGCAATACAAAGGACTTGGAGGTACTTCTACATGAAACACAGAAAACTAGCACACAGGTGCAGCAGGTAATTAGGAAAGCTAATGGAATGATGGCCCATATTTCAAGGGGATTGGAGTAGAAGAGTAGGAAAATCATACTGTGACTCTCCAAGGTGCTGTTGAGACCATATCTCGAGTACTGTGAGCAGTTTTGGTCCCCTTATTTGAGGAAATATATCATTTCACTGGAGGCAGTTCAGAGAAGGTTCATTAGGATGATCTCTGGTATTGAATGAATGAATGATTTTATTGTCGTGTGTATTTTACAGTGAGAAATGTAGTAAAATATAGTGACAAGCTTTTCCACGGTCGCCATGATCTGGCACCATTTTGAATAGTTTTGGAATAAGAAAAAAACAGAAAGATATAACTTAGAGCGAGTCAATTAGTCCATCATAGAGGATTGTTCTATGAGCGAAGGCTGAACAGGTTGGGACTCGACTCACTGGAGTTTAGAAGAATGAGAGGTGATCTTGTTGAAACATATAGGATCCTTAAGGAGCTTGACAGGGTTAATGCTGTGAGGGTGTTTTCCCTAATGGGAGATTCGAGGACCTAAGGGCATAGTCCCAGAATAGAAGAGGAATTTCTTCAGGCTACAGTGTGGTTCATCTGTGGAAAGCATTGCCACAGAGGGCTGTGAAGGCCAAGTCATTGAGTCATTTAAGACAGAGATAGATAGGTTCTTGATTGGTTAAGAGGCCAAGGGTTACAAGGAGAAGGCAAGAGAATGGATTTGAGAAACATATCAGCCATGATCAAACGGAGGAGCAAGTTCGATAGATTGAATAGCCTAATTCTGCTCCTATCTCTTATGGTTTCATGGGTGCCAATTTGAGACTAAGATGAAGAGAAATTTCTGCTCTGGTTTGAGAGTCTTTGGACCTCATTGCCACAAAAAGCCATGGGAGCAGAGTTCTTGTGTGTATTTAAGGTTGAGATAGATCGATTCTTGATTAGTCGGGGAATCGAGGGTTACTGGGAAAGGGCAGGAAAGTGGACATGAGGAATGTTGGATCAGTCATGATGCTATTGAATGGCAGAGCAGGTTTGAGGGGCTGAACAGCCTATACCTGTTCCTATTTGTATGGTTTTATGGTATTTCCCTTCCACTGATGTGAGGCCACTGATCTGTAGTCCCCTGTTTCAATTTTACTACCCTTCTTGAAAAGTATATTCACATAAGCTGCAGTCCTCTGGCATCTGCCAAAATGCATGACCTCACATTTCCCACATAATTTCCATCTGCTAAGTTATTACACACTCATGTAACCTGTCTACATCCTTCTGCAGATTCTGTGTTATCTTCAACACTTGCCTTCCCACTTATTTTTGTATCAAGCTTGGCTATATTACATTCATTTTCCCCATCCAAATCGTTAATACATCTAGCAAATAATTGTAGTCCCAGTACTATGCCCTGTGTTACTCCACTAGTTACAGGTTAAGCAAATCACGGCAACCAATATGATGGCCTAGTGGTATCATCGCTGGACTGTTAATCCAGAAACCCAGGTAATGGGGACCTGAGTTTGAATCCCGCCATGGCAGATGGTGGAATTTGAATTCAATAAAATATCTGGAATTAAGAATCTAATGATGACTGTGAATCCATTGTCAATTGTCGGAAAAACCCATCTAGTTCACTAAAGTCCTTTAGGGAAGGAAACTGCCATCCTTACCTGGTCTGGCCTACATGTGACTCCAGACCACAGCAATGTGGTTGACTCTTAACTGCCCTCTGGGCAATTAGGGATGGGCAATAAATGCTGCCTTGCCAGCGACACCTTCATCCCGTGAATGAATAAAGAAAAAAAAATATACACACAGATAAATCCCACACTCGGCATCTATTCCTGGTGCTGTATGTCGTTAAATCAAAGATTAATACAATGTTTGATCTGTCACATCTACATCTGTTCCTGAATAGAGATATTTCAATATCCATTGCCCCATATTTGCCCCGTATTGCTGACTGTTGGTTGATTATCAGCTGGTGTGTAGATGTTTATCAGGGAAACTTGAAGCTATCGTCTGGGCCAACTCTGGTAAAGTTTGGATCATGAGCAGACAGTCCTGTTAGGGAGATTTTATTAGGTTTAATGAGCTGGTCTCTTCGTAAAACCTAAACTTTACAGAAAATGATGTTTTTGAGTTGAAGTTTGCATTATGCAAACTGAGAGTTTAGACCCGGATCCCACTGCCTAAGATTCTCTGACCATTATAATTCTGTTTTGCCTTGCACAGCAGATCTCTACTTCGATTTCTAATTCTTTTTCTCTCTCGCATTTTAGGATGAATCTCATTTCCTGAAGAATGTGAAGACAGCGCGATGTAAAGCTGCTCGCCCCCTCCTCCAGGTGCGTCCTGTGTTGGGAGGTGCCTGATTGCTGAACCTCAGCCTTTCTCTCTGTATCTGAATGAAATACCAACCAGATCACATTATCTCTTTCTCAGCACTGGGACAGAATGTCTTTGACTCTTGTCATTACTGCATTATGGGAGGGTGAGCCAGATAGAAGCTGTGACATGACCAGTGTACGGACCCTAACTCCTGTTGCTGATCTTTTTCCAGGCAGCAAAGAGACTCATCCTTCTCTCTGGGACACCAGCGATGTCCAGACCAGCTGAGCTGTACAGTCAGATCGCTGTGCTCCAGCCCAAACTGTTTCCAAACTTCCACGACTTCGGAATCCGTTACTGCGCTGCCAAACGGGTGAGCATTCTTGAACATTTTATTCATGCATGTACTCACATCCCCAGCCCACAATCAGTCAGAGGTGGAGGTGAGTGTAAAAGCCATCAAGAAAGAGAAGATGCTAGAAAAGCTGAAAGGTTTGAAGGTGGATAAATCCCCTAGACTGGGTGTGTTACCTCAGGGTTCTGAGGGAGATGGCTGAGGAGATGCAGAGGCAGTGGTGGGGATCTTTTCAGGAATCAATGGAGTTAGGCAGGGTCTCACAGGACTGGAAAGTGGCTTATGTAATACCCTGTTTCAGAAGGGAGGAAGGCAGGAGATGGGAAATCATAAGCCGGTTAGCCTGATCTCAGTTGTTGGTAGGATTTTAGAGTCCATTGTATGGATGAGATTGCAGAGTAATTGGAAATGCACGGGAAAATAGGGCCGTGTCAGCACTGCTTTGTCAAGGGGAAATCATGCCTGACAAATCTGTTAGAATTCTTTGACGAGGTAATGAGTAAGTTGAACAAAGGAGAGCCAGTGGACGTGATCTATTTGGATTTTCAGAAGGTCTTTGATAAGGTGCTGCACAGAAAGCTGTGAAATAAGACAAGAGCCCTTGGTGACAGGGGCAAGATACTGACACGGATCGAGAATTGGTTGATTGGCAGAAGGATGGAGGTCGGTGACTAGTGGAGTTCCACACATGTCAGTGTTGGGACCGCAGCTATTCATGTTATACATTAACAATCTGGACGATCGAATTGAAGGCGCTGTTGCGAAGTTTGCAGATGACACAAAGATAGGTGGAGGGACAGGTAGTGTTGAGGAGTTAGGGAGGCTGCAGGAGGACTTGGACAGGCTAGGATAGTGGGCAGAGAAGTGGTAGATGGAATACAATGTGGGAAAGTGTGATGCTGTGCACTTTGATAGGTAGAATAGAGACATAGTATATTTTCTAAATGGGGAAAGACTTCGAAAACCTGAAGCACAAAGGGACTTTGGTTTCCTAGTTAAGGATTCTCTTAAGGTTAACTTGCAGGTTTAATTGGCAGTTAGGAAGGCAAGTGCAATGTTAGCATTCATTTCAAGAGAGCTAGAATTAAGAGCAGGGAGGTACTGAGGCTGTATAAGGCTCTGGTCATTTTTATTATTTTTTCTTTATTCATTAACGGGCTGAGGGCACCGCTGGCTAGGCAGCATTGTTGCCCATCCCTAATTGCCCAGAGAGCAGTTAAGTCAACATATAGACCAGACCAGGTAAGGATGGCAGTTTCCTTCCCTAAAGGACATTAGTGAACCAGATGGATTTTTCCAACAATCGACAATGGATTCATGGTCATAACTAGACTCTTAATTCCAGATATTTGTTGAATTCAAATTTCACCATCTGCCGTGGCGGGATTCGAACCCGAGTCCCCAGAACATTATCTGTGTCTCTGGATTAACAGTCCAGCGCTAATACCACTAGCCATTGCCTCCCCTATCGTGTTTGGAATATTGTGTGCAGTTTTGAATCTTGTTTCTGAAGAAGGGTATGCTGGCCTTAGAGGAAGTCCAGGTGAGGTTCAAAAGAATGATCCTGGAAATGAAGTGGTTGTCATTTGAGAGCGATTGAAAACTCTGGGTCTGTACTGGAAGGAGTTTAGAAGGATGCGGGTGATCTCATTGAAACTTACAGAATATTGACAGAAAAACAGAAATTGCTGGAAAAGTTCAGCAGATCTGGCAGCATTTGTATAGAGAAATCAGAGTTAGTGTTTCGGCTCAAGTAACCCTTCCTCAGAATACCGAGAGGCCTGGATTGAGCGGACATGGAGAAGATGTTTCCACTAGTAGGAGACTAGGACCCAAGGACACGTAGATAGAGGGAGATTCTTGATTAGTAGGGTGATCAAAGTTTTTTTTAATCATTCATGGGATATGGATGTCATTGGCTAGGCAGAAGTGGGGAAAGAAAAGGCAGGATAAATGGGTTTGAGCAACATGGGCATGATCGAATGGCAGAACAGACTTGATGGGCCAAATGGCCTAATTCTGCTCCTAATATCTTATGGTTTTATAGTCTTCCACCCAGGTAGTTCTCTCCCTCCTCTCTGGTCTTCCCCAATTCTCCAAACCCCACAACCACCATTTCCCATTTTCTTTCTTTCCTTCACTGCACTTACCCTGTTTCATACTCTTCCCCAACCTCTTTTCTCCCGTGGCCCTCCACACAGTTCCTCTCTCCCTGTGACTTAACCCCCCTTCCCTCATATCGCTTTCTTTTCCCACCCTAGTTCTCCTACACCTAGTTCATGTTCTTGCTTCCATCATTTGGCAGTTGCCCTGGGGATGGGATTACTCAGGATCATCCAATCTGGTGGAACTGCGGCTGTTGCTTCTGGAGTCTCTCATGATCAGGCGGCTGAAATCTGATGTAATGACACAGCTACCAGCTAAGAGGCGTAAAATGGTGCTTGTACAGCCTGAGGGCGTGAGTGCGAAAGCCAGGGCAGCATTGGAGGCAGCTGCTAAAGAGATGACAAAAGACCATAAAACGGTATGTGATGATGAGTATGACAATTATAGAGAATATGGAAAGGAAATTAACTTCCTCAGTAATACCTGACCATGTTACAAAATTTACTCACTCTGGAAAATGGGGACTGTTATGTTGGTGAACATAGTATCTGTATTGTGCACAGCAAGATCCCATAAAGAATAGCTTTTGTCTATTTGTTTGGTTAGCCCAGCTCACCTGGGGAAACTCTGATCTCCTGTGCCTGAGCCCAAAAAAGTCAGAGGTGCACTGAGTAGCTCTTGTCAATTTATCTTGAGACACATGATTTCTAAATATAATTAAGTCTCCTTTGTAATCTACAAGAAGGATTTTTAGTGGGTCAACTATACATATTCTTAGATTCTGGAGAGTTTAACTACAGAATGAAACAGAACTAAGACCTTCTGAAGCACGTTGTCTTCCTGAACCCAGAACTTGATGCATACAAAGCCTTGCCTGTCGCTCTGTTTTGCTTTGCAGTTGATCTCAGTGATTAATCTAGTATTGAAGATTGCTGCTTTAATTGTTAATATCAGTAGTAATTTATAATTGAGCTTTTGGAAACTATTCTTTGTTTGGATTCATTGGTGCTTTAATCACTTAGTATTTTGTGAGTGTGTTGTATTTGCATGTTGTAAAATGTTTTGTCAATAGTTTACAGATTTCTGACCTATGGGAAAAACAAGTGTAAACAAAAAAGATTTCTGGCATAACTTCCGTTTAGAAACATAGAACATAAGTGCAGAAGTAGGCCATTCGGCTCTTTGGGTCTGCACCACCATTCAATATGATCATGGCTAGTCATGCATTTTCAGTATCCCACTCCCACTTTATCTCCATACCCCTTGATCCCTTTATCAGCAAGGGCCATGGCTCCCTCTTGAATATATCTAATGAACTGGCCCCAACAGTTTCCTGTGGGAGAGAATTGCATAGGTTCACAAGTCTGAGTGAAGAAATTCTTACTCATTTCGGTCCTGAATGGTTTGCCCCTTATTCTTAGACTGTGACCCCTAGTTCTGGACTTCCTCAACATCGGGAACATTCTTCCCACATCCAGCCTGTCCAGACCTGTCAGGATTTTATATGTTTCAATGAGATACCTCCCTCATTCTTCTAAACTCCAGTGAGTACAAGCCTAGTTGATCCAGTCTTCCTTCATATGTCAGTCCTGCCATCCTGAGAATCTGTCTGGTGAACCTTCGCTCGATTCCCTTAATAGCAAGAATGTCCTTCCTCAGATTAAGAGACCAAATGTGCACACAATACTCACCCACGTCGTGTATAACTGCAGCAAGACATCCCTACTCCTATGCTCACGTCCTGTTGCTATGAAGGCCAGAATGCCATTAGCTTTCTTCATTGCCTGCTGCACCTGCATGCCACCCTTCAGTGACTGTTCCACCATGACATGCAGGTCTCATTGCACCTCACCTATTTCTAAACTGCCACAATTCACACAAAATAGGAGCAAATTACTGCAAATGCTGGAATTTTAACTGAAAAGAAAAATGCTGGAGATCACAGCAGGTCAGGCAGCATCCATGGAGAAAAAGCAAGCTAACGTTGCATGTCTAGATGACTGTTCATCAGAGTTGAAGTGAAGTGTGGAGGAGGCAGTGTTACGAAGTTATATGCAGTAATCGTGAAATGGAAGGCAGGAAGCTAGAATTTGTTTGTGAATAAAATGATAAGGGAGAAGAGCACGTGGCACCTTTAAGATGTAAAGTGCTTTTCTAAGCAGGGGTACAGACAGTTCTGAAATTGAAACATATATCAATTGGCTGTGTGATTGGAAATCTTAGATTTGTTTTGATGTTTCGGCAACTAGCTGGAATCAGTCAATTAATTTAAACCAAGCACTTAGCAATTGCAGGCCAATTGAATTTAAATCTGATGGTTTTGACAACCTCGGACCAATGCTATTGTAAGAAAATTGATATGTCATCCAAGATATATAAGGAGAGGGTTTTTGAAAATTGGTGTGAGAGCAAACCGCCATCTGAGAAATAAGCATTTAGCTCTCACAAGAAATCGCTAAGCTCGCTAAGAAAGCACCATGAATCCATTAAAGGTACCACGGCCCTTCTAGCTAAGAGTCCTCACAGAAGACTTCACAGAGAAAACATCCCTGACAGCTGGATCAGCAGTAGAAAGGTGTTTATGACTTGAGAACAGCAGAAGAAAGGCATGTAAACTTTGAGAGACTAAGTTTTAATTTATTTTCTTATTACCTGTGTTTATATAAGTGGGACTTGTGTTTATTGGAACAACATACTGGTAGAATTTAGTTCAGTTAGGCAATAGTAGTTAAGGGGGAATTGTTTGGTTTGTTAGTAATTCTGTTAATTTGTTCACTGTTAGGGTTAAATAGATAAATTGTTACTTGCTACTTACAAAGTGAACATCAGGGATTTTCTTTCATTTAACTTCTCCTTCTTTGTAACACTAGGCAAGATGGGGCGTGTTTGTCTGGCTATTTCGGGTTTAATTATTAGAAGGGGACCTCTGCTCCCACCATAACAGACTGGGGGCTTGTGTTTCAATTTTAGTTATCAGATGGTTTGACCCCTCCTTTCTAACAGGAGCATTCATGTAATAGTGGGAAGGGGGAATGTTGATCATTCCGATTAAATGATCGGAATGTGAGACATTCAGACAATAATCTGCCTTCCTGTTTTTGCCACCAAAGTGAATAACCTCACATTTATCCACATTACACTGCATTTCCCAAGTATTTGCCCACTCAGCTATTCTGTCCAAGTCACCCTACAGCCTCTTAGCATCCTCCTCACAGCACACACTGCCGCCCAGCTTATTGTTGTCTGCAAATTTTGAGATACTGCATTTAACTCCTTCGTCCAAATCGTTAGTGCATATTGTGAACAGCTGAGGTCCCAGCACTGAACCTTGCGGTACCCCGCTCGTCACTGCCTGCTACTCTGAAAAGGACCCATTTATTCCAACTCTCTGCTTCCTGTCTACCAACCAGTTCTCTATCCACGTCAATACATTACCTCCATACCATGAGCTTTAATTTTCCTCACTAATCTCTTGTTTGAGAAACCTTGTCAAAAGCCTTTAGAAAGTCCAGATACACAACATCTGCTGATTCACCCTTGTCCACTCTACTGGTCACATCCTCAAAAAATTCCAGAAGATTTGTCAAGCATGATTTCCCTTTAGTGGATCCATGCTGACTTGGACCGATCCTGTCATAACGTTGCAAACACTCAGTTAATACATCCTTAACTATTAACTCCAGCATTTTCCCCACCACTGATATCAGGCTAACTGGTCTATAATTCCCCATTTTCTCTCTCCCTCCATTTTTAAAAGGTCGTGTTACAATAGCAACGCTGCCGTCCAGTAGAACTCATCCAGAGTCTGTAGAATGCTGGAAAATTATCACCAATGCATCCACTATTTCTAGGGCCACTTCCTTAAGTATTCTGTGATGCAGAACATCAGGCCCTGGGGACCTATCGGATTTTAATCCCATCAATTTCCCCAATACCATTTCCTGACTAATAAGGATTTCCTTCAGTTCCTCCTTCATGCTTGACCCTCTGTCCCCTAGCATTTCTGGAAGATTATTTGTGTCCTCCTGAAAGAAGACAAAGTATTTGTTCAATTGGTCTTCCATTTCTTTGTCCATTTATGCATTCACCTGATTCTAACTGTAAGAGACCTACGTTGGTCTTCACTAGTCTTTTTCTCTCCATTTATCTATGGAAACTTTTGCAGTCAGTTTTTATATTCTCCACAAACTTACTTTCATATTCTATTTTCCCCTTCCGAATTAAACCCTTTGTCTTCCTCTACTGAATTTTAAATTTCTGAATTTTAAATATCCCTGATTTTCCTTGTTAGCGATGGTTGAGCCACCTTCCCTGTTTTACTGTTACACCATGCAGGGTTGTACAGTTGTTGAAGTCCACCTGTGTCTTCTTTACTTGGAAGTCAGCAGGAGATTACAAGTAAACAACTAATAGCAACTTTCATGCAGTAAACCCAGATTGCTCACAGTGACTGCTTTCCTTTAAGCTCATAAACTGACTAAGCAAATACCTTGTTGACAAACGCAAGCGAGTGGTCAGTTTGGTGGTGACTTGTCTTACCAAGTTGCCAATTAAACTGCAGCAATAAGTCCAGTTTCTCTAGAATCTTTTTAACATATTTTACCAAGAATAAACCATTATATTCAATTGACCAGGCTTTATTGTCCTGTAAAAGTTCATTTTTGTGCATTGTCATGACCACCAAGCGTGACCAGTGCTTGGTCAGTGAGCTGTACATTAATATAGCTCATGTAGAACTATAGTTCACAGCTCTCATTGAACATGTGGGTGGTGAACAACTGAACAGTATAGTGATAGATAAAGAGGTGCTAAAAGGGCAACAATCCAGGTAGAGAAGTTACCAGGCCTGGATAGAATGCATCCTAGGTTGCTGAGAAGTTAAGGGAGCAAATTGTGGAACCATTGATGGAAATTTTCCAGGCCTATCTGAACACAGGATTAGTCCTGGGGGATTGCAAATGTGACAACATTGTTTGAGAAAGGGACAGTGGATAACCCAGGAAACTACAGACCTGTCAGCTTAACATCAATATTGGGAAAACTGATGGAAGCCATAATACAGGATAAGGTAAATATACACTTAGAGAAAAATAACTTAATACTACCAGTCAACATGGCTTTGTCAAGGCCGGGTCATGTCTGACAAATTTAATTGAGTTCTTTGATGAAGTGACACAGACAGTGGATGAAGGTAGTGGTGTGGGTGTTGTATATTTGCACTTTCAGAAAGCATTTGATACAGTGCCACATGGCAGGTTGGTTAGCAAATTAGAACTGTTTGGGATTGATGGGTCCTTGGCAGCATGGATTAGAAGTTGGCTAAAAGCGAGGAAACGGAACGTAGGTATAGGTGGGCATTTCTCGGACTGGAGACGAGTTGAAAGTGGTGTTCCTGGTTTTGGGACTGAAATAACTACA